CATTAGGAGTAACAGGCGTAAGTAAGCAAGTTAAGTATGGAATTTATAATAAGTGATCATTTATGGTCCCGCCAGGGACGAAGATTTAATTTCAAGAGTTGCGCTTAACCTATGGACTATTGAGATATTAACTATTGGTTTACATACTTAAATTCAATCAATTCTGAATATTACGAATTCTCATTAGAGCTCGGGGAATTATATCTCAAAAATCAGAGGCCAATATACATATTATTATTATTAGCATAGAGATTTATATTGTTGAATTGTTCTGTTTGTTTTTAGTCAGGCAACCTGTTATAACTTGTGACCTGATACCCTGTTAATGGATAAGTAATGATACCGTCAATTAGGGAGCAGCGACTTATCGATCGGATCAATGACGCGTAAAACCCGTACGAGCAGCCTCGAGTCCTGATTGATCCTGCTTTCCGCCTAGCCCAGACTGTTAAGTCCAGAATACCAATCTCAGCCTCTGCAATATGAATCATGTATTTCAAACATACTCTGTTTTTATATACCAATGAAACAGACCACAACGTACCATAAAATAGGAAATAACATTTGTACAAAATTTGGCCAAGTCTAGTGACGTGCACTTAACTTTCAGATCATTAACTATGTAAAAGAAATGCCTTTGCGCTTATACATACTGTATTGTTCCATCTGTATGGAAGTAATACACTTATTTATTGTCTTAAAACATATGCCAAATACAAGTGTTAATTTATATGGTTTTCTGGAGTTACAGTACTTGATTATGTGGAGTAGTAACACTACTCAATGGTAATCAGAACTGAAGTTGTTAAAACATTATTTTAAACATGAATAGGATAGCTGGAAGTTGATTTCTGCAGTCACTACACTACTGATTCATCCTTTTTTTCTACATGAGAATAACAATATTTTTGTTTTAGGTTTGAACTTCACGGTATATTAGTCGGAATCAACTATCATTGTCTGTTATTACCTACTTTTGCTCAATTACTTATGATTTCAATGAAAGTGGCAAGAATATGAACTGAAGATCTTCATGCTATTGCATTTTTTCCTTACTCACTACCTATCAGTTAACAATTAATGGGATTTTCATATCCCAAAATATTGACAAATAGTTGAAATACCATTTGAATTCATTTGAATTTAAATCTAAACTTACCCTTATATTAATACAGTTGAATATTTTTTTCTGGTTAGCGTTTTTTAGCGAGTTAGTTTTCTATACGATTAGGTCGTTAACCCCATGCCCAACCCTCCTCCTTTATCCGGGTTTGGGACCGGCAGTAGCTCAGGAAGGGTTCCAGGAGGAGTTAATATAGTTGAATAGATTAATGATATCTAGTTTAACAGATGTGGTGAAACTATTTTATTGACGACCTTTGAACGTGCGTTTAGGTGACCTTGAGAATATTAGCCAATCAGAAGAGAGTTAGTATAAAGCAAAAATATATTATAAAAAACTGATGAATTACAATGGATATTCCTCTTTTACATGATTTAAGAACTTGTTAAGGTTTGATAAAAGTTCAGAAGTTTTGAAATCATAATGCATGCGGTATAGGAACTCGTCCATATGGCTCCATAATAATCGTCCTCTGGAGCCATGGTAGGGTCTTAAAAAATACTTCAGCCTAGACCACATGCCTTCAATATTGTTTGTATGAACCCCCGTCGTTGGATCGACAAAATGACGTTTGTGCACTACAACATGATGCACAAAACCAAGTCTTGAGAGGCATCTATACGCCTTCCAATCATCGGTATAAATCGTAGTGCCAGGCTGAACGTACTCCTTGATGATTGGTACTATTGTTGTTACCTTACCGTCACCCACTCTTTGAAAATGTCCCTTTTGAGTTGAACGATCATAAAATCCAAGTACCTGTCAAGTATATTCACGGAAGTTCTACTTACACAATCTTCCTTGATAAAACGTCCTTTGTTGTATTTTCGCTTTCTAATTACTGTTTCATCTATTTCCACTATCTGTCTAACACCTCCAAATAATTCATGTACTCGTGTCATTTTCATTACGCATACATCACGGCAATATTCATACCACTGAACGGCGGAAGTTTCCGTAACACCTGCAAAAGCCGCAGCTAATGTTACTGTAGACTTTATGATCCAATTTGCAACAATTATCATGATTTGTCTTAGCCTGAGCCGTGACCGGGCAAAGAAAGTGCCAGTTCGAGCAGATTTTTTTCTCCAACATATAGTACAACGAAATATAATGTCATCACAGTAGGCTGCACATCGTGCTGCAGTCATTTGATTGCCGCATTCAAAGATACAGGAACTTCTTAATAGTCCCATCTGTTGTAGTCGCTCAACAATCACCTTTTCTCTAAAATCTGCTGTAAAATGATCGAATGTGAGCATCTCGCGTTGAACTTGGCGCCGTGACCTTGAAATTCCACAAACGCTTCTGATTGGCTCGTACATAAATTAGATTCCTGCCACAGATGTCATAATGGATTATTTACACGGTGTACATTCAATATTCACTTAGTCATGTTCATATTCACAATCACATAGGAATATCTTAGCTACATTAAAACTGTGAGACTCCCAAGATGACAGCCTGTTCAGAAGTGTTCAATGTTAATTGGTTGGTGATTAAAAATCACAGAGAAATGAATGAATAAATCAATGTATATTTATGTCAAGACTGGGAATAAAATGTAGTTTTGTTAATAGTAGCTAAGTTGAGAGCTACTATTGAAGATAATTGAGGGAAGAACTGGAAATTGACTAATCACTGAGCGGTAACCAATGGCACATTTACCTATTCTTTTGAGAGGATTGAATGTTATGGATCTACTAGTTATCTGGTTCACTAACCGAAATAACAACATCGAGTAAATTATAGATCAGTGTTGAATAATTAGCGAAGAACGCTAAGTGAACCACATTGGATGTAGATTTCATGCAAGCTGTAAATCATTAGGAAGACTTATATAAAATGTGATTAAGACACTGGGTTCAAATCCAACAAAGACGACTAGCTTCTTCAATATCATAGATCATATCTTCTTGACGAGTGACAACATCAAGGATGACTCTTATTGATTGTCCTCAAATTACTTAAATAAAAATATAAATTCAACGTTCTTCCCGTTTCATTATATAATACCGATAACTCTGAACGGAAACAGAAGTATTAACGAGTTAACATTTTGGTTTATCTACTCAAAATAAGTGACGATGTGACTATCATCCAAAAGACTTTCATTATTATTTTTCACACAGGAATAGGAAATGAATACACTTTAGTCATTTCATTATCGTTAACTTTACTGTCTTGTCAATTAGTGATGTTAGATTATAAGGATAATATAATATCTATAGTTCAGATCGTGGGTCAATTGAAGCTAGACTACCATAGAAAACCTGCAAACACTGGACGGCCGTTTCGTCCTGATGTGGGACTCCACAGCAGTGCTCACCTCCTGTCCCGCTCTACGGGATCCGAACCTAGGACCTATCAGTCTCGCGCGCGACCAGTGTGAATACATAATAGATAGTTGGATATTATTTGTTAATAATTAATAAACATGGTCTACATGTCATTTGTAGTACCAGGGCAACGAACTCTAGTGACACTGAAATGAGCTGTTTTGTATAAAGCAACCCAGCAACCTATCAACTTGGATACAAATCACTAGGCAATTAATATATTGATGGTTTGAGTAAGTGTTAACAGCAAACGATTATTAGAGAATATGTGAGACCTTGACAGATTATCCGACGAAATATTTCATTTCAATCCTTCCCTTAGATGATCTACAAAATCTACTACGTTCAGTGTGACATTTCCATGGGTGCAATTTTAACAATAGAGTCAAGCACTGCATGCTAAAACAAATACTTCCAGAAGTATTCGTATTACAAGGTTATGTATTCATGAGAAAATAAATATATTACTAATGAATATGAAGGTAAGAAATCTAAATAACTCCACATGTGAGTACACAACTTGAGGTCGGAATCCTTCAGTAAATGAATACGATTGTTCAACTATTTAACCTCAAAATACCAACACCTATGACAGCATACTAACAGACTAATCAGAATAATGAATGTGGCTAGAATAATAGTCAAGTATGTTTATGCTTCAGAATTTGATTGTACCTTATGATAGTGCAGTCGATTAAAACTGAAAACACCCGCTTACTGTAGCTGTGTTATTTTTTAAATAAAACATAGATTCAAGGATTTTTGATATAACCGCCTAACTGAACTATATGCAAAACATTGTGGCCAATGTATGCGTGAGTTTGACAAATACTTCCTAATGGCCATCATCAAGAACTTCTACCGGTATTTACTTGTTGAATCATTTACATTCAGTCAGTCAGTTACAACGTAGGACCAGCCACATATATGCATCCGTCCAAGTTGTCATACCTTATTAGCACAACAAGATGAACACCGGATTCATAGAAATAGTTAACTCAATGTTGAAAGATTGCATATAAGGACATAGTGCAAGAAGAAAGATTTACTACGTAGAAAGAAAGATATGAAGCGATTTTAATCTTATAGTTTAATGGAAAACAGAGAATGTATACACCTACTCCATTGTGATTGATTCTGTGCCATGTCACCCAGAGTCCCAAAATCATTTAAATTACTGTAAATCATTTACAAAGTACTTGTTGAATTTGGGACCTAATTCTATTATCTTATTAAAATAGACAAATCAAGAAAGTTTGGATCCAAAACGTTTTTTCATTAAAAATCAACTGTTTGAATCAATAAGCCAATATTCCTAACTATTGTTAATAAATCTGAATACGGGTACTTTACTACCACTTTAAAACTATATATATATATATATATATATATATATATATATATATATATATATATATATATATATATATATATATATATATATATATGAATACTATTTCATTATTCCATCTATACAATTATTATTTGTAGTCATACACTTCGACAATACCATTCAGAGAGAAGAAAGAGAACATGTTCATTGTAAAGAATTATTAGTATTAGTATTATTATTATCATCATCATTAATAGTCATAGTAGTATTAGTATTATAATTAACATGATCACGTACAACTTGCTTGTAAGTGATACATTGGAAAATTGGATTCATGTGTATATGTGTATTTATTTATTTTAAAGTGTGTTCAACATAAGAATCATAGAAATTGTAAAAATGAGAGGCATATAACATTATACACTACATATTCATCATGGTAATAAAAATGATCGAATTGGGAAGAGAGAGAGAGAGAAAAATTGACTAATATGTAATAACAAAACAAAACAAAAAACGCCTAAGTGGGGAACCAAGAAACGGAGACAATAGTGGTGTGCATTGTTTTTCTTTTTTTTTTTAAAAAAAAATGAAGTATATGTAAAGAACCATCTTATTTCTGTATATATCATAGTGTATCAACACCCAGTTAATTATTCATTTATCAATTTACGGGATTATGAAGATATATCTATGAAAAAGAAACCGGTAAATCCAATATCATCATTGATCAGTACATCACTGTTCGACGTATATCCGATCATTCCAAGCATACACACACACACACACACTTAAAAATCTCAACCACATACTCAGTTATACGCATACACGAAAACAGCACAATCTCATTAATTCATTAGAAGAGAAGTAAAGAGGTATCGATGAAAATTATGCGGTCTCATCAGCATAATCATCGGTAACAACCAAAAAAAAACCTCAGTAAATTACAGCACAAAAATAAATTTAAATGCATTCGTTTTGCTTAGTTGCTCTGATGCTTCCACTTGTCTGTTTGTTACATTGCGCTGTATATAATATTGTCCTGTCTACTTTCTTCAGGAGTGAAATTAAGATTTTCTCTAAGTTTGTCTCTGTATATTTTGAAGTGTATGGATCAGATAACCATGTGAATGAGAGGATGAGGGTATGTGGATAGTAAAATATGAAGAAAGAGAGAGAAACAGAGAGCGAATGAAGGAAAACAGAAACAATTTGCTTATCAGTAGTATATAGTGGTATAGAAAAATAAGAGAAATATGTCTATGGTTTTTACCAACATCATCATCATCATCACCACCACCACCACTAACAACAATAACAACAACAGTAGAACTTGAGTCTGTAAATATCCTTCTTTTATTTCTCCTTTACCGTTATTGTTACTAACAATCGTAGTCGATGTGAAGAAATTGTTTAATATAAGTATGAACAAAACATCATCTCATAAAATATGTTCCATTTCTATAATTGAACTAAGGAATGTATATAGCAAAGACAAGTGGATGAAAATTATGTTTTTCAAAAATATGTTGAAAGAATAATCCATATGTATATATATATATCGGAGGTAAATAACTGGTCATCAGAAAAAAAAAAGAGAAAAATCGTCGAAAACAATCTAGTTTATTCATTTGTTATGTATGTTTTGTTTTTCATTTTGCAATGATACTGATGATAGATCATTTAGGTTGATTAATAATAACGAATGGATAGATGGATGAATGAATGAGTAACCAAAATGGATATATAAATTATATATATAAGTGTTATTGTTATTTAATCAATGTGCCAAAGCTTGGACACATTAGCAACAATATGTGAAAATGTTTAAAATGCAAAAATGGAACTCGTGACAAAGACGAAGACAAATAAACGAATGCAACATCAATCGATAGAGAGAGAGAGAGAGAGAGAATCAGATCGTCAAGAAAAACAAATAACCAGTAAGCGGAATGTTTAAATTTTTTTTTCTCTCTTAAAAAATAGACTCAATCATAATGAAACGATATGCCATATGGAAAAAAAACAGTCGTGTTTTTTATCAACAAACAAACAAACAAACAAAATACTCAGTAATTCACAAAAGTAACTCAACAACTCTACAACAGTAGTGATGACGACAATAGGTCATTTACAACAACAACAACAATAATAATAATAATAATAATAATAATTAAGCAAAATCTGTTATTTATGAACAATTCATTCATCATGTAAAAAATATGCATATACGTGTGTGTGTGTGTGTGCGTGTTTCCCCCTCATCCTGTCTCTATTGTGTCTCAGTGAAAATCGAAGGAATTATAGAGAAAATGAGCAGGATACAATTATCATTTTCTGACAGAAGGAATGAGAGCCAAACAAACCACTAATCATTATAGTAATATATATTCACAGACGAAAAGAAAGAAAAACATAGAAGATGGAGAATAACAAGAAAGAAGAAAAAAGCACCTCCTCATATGACGACGACAACAACCATAGAAACAACACTAAGGTTGCATAAAATAAAACAATACATTAACAGTTATCTTAATGATGGGATTAATAATAATAATAATAATGGTGAATATCAAGTATAACCATACTTTGTATTAATATTTCTATGTATTAGTAAAATGAATCAGTGAAAATAGTTCATGGTAAATAAATAATGATAAACAAGACCCATTGAAATGTATACCGTGAATGGAGGGTGGCTCTTATTTCACAACAATGCCATATTTACTAAAACAAAGAAGAATGTATCTTTTCTGTTTCTATCAAAATTCTGTGTTTGTTTGTTTGTTTCTGTTTAGTTTTATTTATTGTATTGCAGCGATCAATCAAACCGAGTGGGGAGAAACACTCGACACAGACACACACATAGACACACAGAGTACAACGTCAAAGAAAGAAAAAACGGAGAAGACAATTCATTTTGATTTTCGTTCAGGAAACTAAGAATAAAGCGGAATCTAGATCAACATATTTTTTCAAACTAACCATACAATAGATTTAATGGTGAAGAATCATGCTAAAGAATAGGAGGAGAGGCAGAAAGAGATAAATGTATGCACTCCAGAAGTTAGCAAAAATAATTTAAGAGCAGGAGAAATTTGAGCATATGAAGAGAATAGAGGCATAACTTAGATTGATAAATGTAGTTACCATCGTAAGATTCAAGATGGAAGCCGGCAGATGAATAGTATCAATTAGAAGAATGACAACAAAAATGTAGTTGACCTGTATTGTTGTGATTTTTCAGGAATAGAAGAAGAGAGAGAAAAGAGGGAGAAACAAACGATTACATACACCTCATAAAGCAGGTACCGGAGCAACCGAGACTGTCTCAGTAGGGCTTACGACTATCTACAAGAAAAAAAAGAACACCAAAAATAAAGATATAGCATGAACATGATAAAAAATAGCAACAAAATACATTTGTAGTAGTATTATTGTAAAAGCTGACACTTATCATATAACAAACAATTGTATGAGCTTTATGTTTGATAGAAACATAATAATTTTATTCATTGTTTACAGCAGCAGTAACAAAATGATTATCACCATCACCAATAGAAAGGACGCAGAGCGTCATTATCAAAAATTTATTGTTTAATGACATGTAAAGACATGCAAACAAATAAAGAAAAAAAATTTTTAGACAGGGAGTAAACACATGCAACATTAAAGCAGTATTGGTCATAGTAACCAAGTGTACAAAAACGTGATCAAACATGTCTATTAGTATTTGCATTGATTGTTTATACATATATTGTAAGCTAAAAAGTGAATTGAACATTTTGGTTAAACAATATGTCATATTCATCAGTTGTTTCACGTGGCAAAACAGATTAGTCCTCAACTGAACTACAAACAAATAGTCATAATTATTTGATGTAAACGGGAACTAAACATGGTTTCAATAAATGATGCCTAATCTGTATGAAGAGAAAAAAGGTGGTGTCTTTTTTTCTCTTTAGAAAAAAATCAATAAACATGACATTACATTTATTTCTACTTCTTAGTCAGCTAGTTAGTTAACATCAACTTGGAAAGGAGTATGATACAAAAAGTAACCTAACGAGATGAAATTAACTAATAAAATAAATATGAAAACAAGTTTAGATAAGTTCACTCAAAGTAATACTGAGATAGATTAGAGAATATGGAGACGTAAGAAAAGGAACTACTATTACAGAAAGGATAAATAGAGTCACGGAATTTGTGACACTGTGATCCAGTATGAGTTGTTACGTCATTCACCTCAACACCTTCATCAACATTCTTGTTGATAGGGTTTAACTGTTGAAGAGCTCCATACAGTTAGCTGTCATCTACTGACCTCTTATTTTTTTCAATAATTTTCTACATCTCTCTTTGTTGATATTAAAGCTTGACGAATAACTAATTACAACCATAGTATGGTGTCAATCTTTCAAAGCAATTCGGAAGGGTGGAAATTTAGGAACTGATCATAATAAGCGCCATTATACATCAACATTATTTGTATTCAGTCGAGAGAACAGATAGATAGATAGATATGTATTACATAAGGAAGATATTTCAGGGCTAAATCAAGCCGGATAAGAAAAGTTCACATAAAACGAGCACACACACACACAAAAAAACGGAAGATCAAATGAAAAATGAACTAACAACCATAACAACAGAAATAAAGTTTACCGATAGAGATAAGAAAAAGCAACAGATGAGTTCAATAATCGATGAAATAACCTCAAAAGAAAAAATGATAATTAAAAAAAACACAACAAAATTTTCATCTCTAACTGAAACGATGCATATGTAACATGATAAATGATTGTTACTTGGACATATTACGTAATAATAAGAATGTAATTAAATTTACATTTTTTTGTACTGAGAGGTTCCCAGTATTCATTCCAACTGGATCTTAATCAAGTGAAGTTGGATATTTTAACTGGTTAACCGACACTACATAGATTAAAATGTTATAAATAGAATATTTCCGTGTATCTATTGCATTGGATGCTCAAATTATAAGTTGGTGATGTACACAAATAAACACACACACATACATACATACATACATACATACACACACTACGCATTACCAACTTGACATGAATGTTTTCACCTAATTACGTTTTACATTTCAAAATAAAAGTACTAAACATTGACACTGTTGGACAAACAACGATAACTCATATGTTTTTTTGGACAAGTATGCAATAAACTTAAAATGGAAACACTTTCATTGTTTCCAGTGATTACAACAAATAAGATATAATGTGAAATTGTGCTAATCATTTGGTTTATTTTCTGAAACTCAACCTTTTATACACAAGACCCTCTAGAGCACAAGAACCTTCAATGATATTGGTAAGAAGGGGGAGAAAATGAAAAAAGTGTAACACTAATTTATTCATTTAGTATTTAGCAATGCAATCAGTCAGTCAATCAGTAACAACGTGGTACTTCGTACGTACGTACATCAGTTCGAGTTGCTATACCACATTAGCAATGTAATAATAATCATCATAAAAAAGGAGATCTCTAAACGTCCAGTGGTGAAATTCGTATTATAAAACTGAGAAAACAATAGACAATTTATTGAAAGTAATTGAGAGACCTTGACACCGAGCTAACACTACACATTGACTACATGATCCAAAGAGAATAAATTATCATGACATCACTGAAGTAATCCATTCGTGATCAAAATGCATAATTGATATGGTGTAGAAGATTTGTAGTTCAGGTGAATGATTTTTATGGAGTTTTATTCTCTGAGCTGAATGGTTTGGTCGTGGAGCTTTCATTGTTTTTCTTTTTGAACGACATCACCAGCACAAACTTCATGTAGAAGTGAAGTGATCAATTGGAGATAGAACAAAAATAAAGAAGTAAACAATGACACGTTTAAGGTCAACAATAAGCAAACAACATTGAAGTGTACAGGACAAGCTGTGAACCACATGTGGAGAAATTTGAACACTTCACTTCTACCTGACGTTTGTGCTGATAATATCATTTAGAAGCACGATGAAAGCTGCACGACCAAACTATCCAGCTCAGAGAACAAAACTCCATAAAAAATGCACAATATGTATATTTCATATACATTTCATACTAAAGCTTATGTACATTTTACTTTCATCAAGCTAAAAATGACATTTTAGATTATGACTAATAACACCTATTAACTAATTGCTCTAACTTCATCAAACATATGAAGGATAAACAAAACAAAATTCAAAGATCTATCTTACAGAACCTTTCAAATTTAATTACATTCCCAATTAGAATTTACATGTTCGTTGAGGTTTGATTCTTGACAGAATATTAAGATATTAAGAGATAGGATCGGAGATGCACACAATAAGACAAAAAAGTCATCTAGTGATTCCAAGTTTTCCACCATAGTGGATCTAGCTTCAATGAACTCATGATATCAACTATTATAATATCCACAAAAGCCCCTTCTGATATTAAGATTTGTTTTGCTGTATCCATCTATCTTACTTCTTCATTTATGGATTCATTATCAAATTTGTCATATTGAAAATAAACACTTAATAGACACTTGTAAACAATTTTTAAAAAAATGTTTTTGAGATCAATTATGGCCATTTTGTTGCTATGCAAGTTTTTTTTATAAAAACAAATTAACAAATAAACATGATGACGTATCCATATAATTAGAAACGAGAAATAATTTAATAAATAATTAATTAATTAATTAACTTGACAATGACAAATATAATAAATTAGATGGAAAGACAGATTGACAGATAGACATATACTGAGATATATATAGATAGATATATGTAGTAGACAATGATAGATAAATAGACAAATATACACTGACACGATATTCTTATCAAGTTGACGACAACACATATATCGACATACAGGAATACAATTAATAGTTGCACACGCACACGCATACACACACACACATATGTACAATCAAGTTTCAGCCGATAACAAGATCAGATCAACAATAATTAATGGTCAGCTTCAGAGCGAATGTGTGTGCGTCTATGTTTGTTGTTAATATTTACCTCAGAGTATATAGAATCCTGTGAAGGAAGAGATAAATCACCGTCTTGTCTTTGTCCAGTATGTGTAGTAGTATCACGAGAAGATTTTGTATTTGACGATGATGATGTTGATGAAGTGTTACCGCCTAACAATGTATATATGTTAGTATAAATGAAGAACAATGGGGATTTTGGAATAAATGTCAACAATTTTTTTTATAAAAAAAAATAATAAAAGTTACAAGGATGAAATATATTACTGAAAGACAATATAAGTAGACGTAAGAAACATAAAATTAAGATAGCACTGATAATTTACATTTGGGTATTCTCTTCTATTGATAAGACTTTGTTTATCAATAAGATGAACCAATTACATAAACATAAAAAGGAATTCATTAATAATAATTTCTTTGGATTAAATGGAATTATGTGAATGAATTAAAACACATTTCACTAACCTTTAGGACGTTTCAATTGTACTTTCAATCGTTTCATACCAATTTGAAAACCATTCATTGCTTGAATTGCATTTTGAGCACTTGTATGATTATCAAAACTGACAAAACCTAAATTTAAAATAATTGAATGAATTGAAAATTATTCAAACTATGATGTATAGCATAATTATATGAAATTATTAAATCGACATTGTGTATTCTCGATGATAAATGCATAGAATGTGAACCTGAACCAGTTAGTAACAACGTAAAACTTCATACATATGAACATCAGTTCAAATTATCATAGCATATTAGCATAGAGATACAATTGTCGATTGAAATCTCATAGTGCTAGAGGTAGTAAAAGTATAAGGAATAATCAGAAACATTAGAGTTTGAAGATGTTATTCAAGAAGTATAATCCAGTGAAATAAATTCAGAAAGAGAGAAAAAGAGACAAGGAGAATCCAGAAGATTAGAATTTGGGAGAAACAAAGAGTGGATGCACTTTCGCCATCTCAAACGATTTTGAGCCATGTCATCAGTTACTATCGACTCGCGAATCCCAACCAGGTAGTCTACACCTACTAACATGGCTTATTCCACTTGTCAGTGAATTTATGGATTTGAACAATGTTTTGGTTTAGCCGCCCCCATCTTTCTCCCAACCTACTCCTACATCATGAAACATTGCTCATCGAGGCAGTCGGTGGTCGGGCATACGTAACACATGTCCCAGTAATCTCAACTGATGAAGTCATCTCCTGCTTTATTTAACTTGGGAATCTCATCAGTCCTGATGGTCTGGTGTCTGACGAAATCTTGCCAAGGATTCATAAGGATCGATTGGTTTTGGCCGAATTGCGTCACCTGTAGGGAAAGCGATATATCTGTCTTCTAACCTGAAAGATTACCGCGCGAGAGTTCGCTCAGTTCTAATTTAAGAGTGTGAGACATGAACAATAAGAATCAAGAATTATTTGTAGATTACTAGTATTTGATCGCAGGTATCTTCGAAGAATTCCTAATGTATTTTGTGACTAGCAACTAAACAATGTTCAGGTTAGGAATACAGTACTAACTAAGGATGGCAAATCGACTGGTGAGGTAATCAATTTTCATCAAGTGTGATAGTTTGGATATGTGTCATGGATGCCCAACCACCACCTACCTCGACAGAAGATGCAGTTTGATATAGGAGTAGGTTGAAAGAAAACCAGGGGGAGTCAAACCAACACATGGCATCAGTCCATTAAGTCAATGACAATCGGACTTACCCATGTTGATAGATGCAGACTACTTGGTTGGACTCCGAATGATTATCATAACCAATGGTTAGAGACTTTGAATGACATCGTTCAAAGTCGTCTTCAGTGGAGCAGGTATATGGATTCTTCGTCGTCCTCCAAATTATAAGCATCTGAATTCCCCACTTTTTTATTTCGTTAATTTATATTTTCTTCTCGAATAGTACCTTTGAAGCCCAATCTTTTCTCTCATTACTCATACTGTTACTAACTCAACTATTCTGTGATTTGGCCTGAAAACTTAATATCTTTGTGTTAATCGGAACCGGAAACAATGTAGATATGTACCAGGTTCTAAGTTGTGGCTTACTGATTGGTTAACATCCAAATCTTCCAATAAAAAAGTGACCAATTCTCGACTGTAACTGCTATACCTCTGATGCCATGGTCGAGTTTGCAGATTACGATGAATAAATCGAACTACGTTCACATGGACACTTCTTCCTTTAGGTCATCTAACACACTAGGAATGTCATCTATCACACTCCCAAGTCTTCAAGACCATTACTACTTTATTTTCGTTCTCAGATACCTAAAAAATTGTCTAATAAAACAGTCTCATCCTACTTACTTCGGTAGGTGCAGCGGAACATAAAATTTATCTCAAAGTCAAGCATTCGATAGACGAACCATATCGTCAAACAGACTATTACACAATTATGTAACGATATGTATCCTGTTAACATCTCAAGTCTATATATGACTGTATGTTTTTACAAAAAAACATACGACTTCAACAGTCACCGAGTTATTCTTCAATGAAATCCCTAGCAGATAAACACATTGACTAGAAAAATGAGTACTCGTTAGTGATAGATGGCTAAAAACTTACCGAAACACTTGCTTTGATTAGTAGCTCGATCAACATAAACTTTAGCGCTGATCACTGTACCAAATGGCATAAACATTTGAGCTAATTCATTGTCACCGAATTCTTGTGGTAAATGATAAATGAATAGATTACATCCTTCGGGACCTGTACGGTAAATATAAATAAGACAACAAACAACAAGAAATAACTTTATAACATAAAGAATTCGCTAAAGAATAAACATAAAGCGCCGTGGTTACGCAACAATTGATTGAGCACCCTTACTCAAACAATAAACATGTTCTAAAGACATTTTCATATCCCTGATGTAATTCCATAATGGAGGATGGGAAAATACTGCATCACACGTGTAGCAAGGAAAAATAACAAAATATATCCAGAAACTGTATTTAAAAAGAATGGCTACCCACGCAACTTCATCGAACAATATCAAATCAACTCATCAGTATAAACGAAATAAAGTACAGAAACCAACAGACGGATCATTCAACCATAAGTTAAGGACATCAGAAATCACGAGACTGCTGAAGCCGTAGGTGTAGCACACAAATCAACAAAACCTCTTCAGTCAATCATATGCAAATCAAACGATGAAAGAAGGAAAAGCGAACATCATCTACAAAATAAACTATTCCAGTAAAGAATAAAGAAACAGAAAAATTATGAGGTAATTTCAAAGATAAAGATCTAAGTAAAGCCAGAAAGTGAATGCATCTGTGCCATCATAACCAATTCTGAGGTATACTACTCAACGTCTCTAAACACCGTTGATAACCATCTTGCAGACTACAACCTGGTAGTATGGCCTTGCCTATAACACTCAGTTCAATCATCAATAACTTTGATCTCGAGAACATTAGTCTTTGACATGATTACGAGTCAGTAAATGTAATGATAATTTCGTCCAGAATGTTTAGACGCTGAGCGAATTATATGTTGTTAAAGTGAACAATCAGTTCGGAAGAGGTCCTAAAATTAAGGTCTGTTCCTCTCAAACTATTAATCTCATAAACTTTATGTGAATTCAATCAATTGAGCAATAATAATAAAAAACCGATTTTATCGCACGTTTCCAATTTGATAATATCTATAAATTTACCTGTTAATATCAGTTCCCTGGTACCTTCTTTCTGTTGAACAGGCATTGATAAAGCTTGATGATGTAAATTAGGAAAAGTGGTATATGCGGCACCTCCAGTAGGATAAGCTGAAAGGTTGGAATTTCAGAAGAAAAAAGAAGAGAACTGAAATCACTGGTCAAATTTAGTATAAGACTTACACACTATTACAATTGAAAATGTTAATCGTCTAGTTAGTTCATGTGTTAGTTGTCCAGAGATACAGTGAACAACAAGTCAGTTAGTCATACGTAAAATAGAGCCTGGCACATATGTACATCGATTCAAGTTACCATACTACATTAGCACAGAGATAAACAATTATTTCAAGATAGATCCAAGAGTAGGAAAAGTAGTAATCGTATCAGTAGTAATAGAAAAATTTACGTAAAGCAAAAGATGAAATGGCCTAAGAGGAATTTAGGACTCAGGTTCTAATGGAAGAAAAATGGTGAGTGAGCGTGGGGCATTGTGAATGATTTTGAGTCATTGTATTTAGAGTCTCCAACAATTGATACGACAATCACAAGGACCCAAACTATTTACACAGCTCAAATCCAATTGTCAATGACTCCATGGACTGATGCTTCGTTTCGGACAGGTCACCTTCAGCTTTCCTTCAAACTACTCCTACACCATACATCGCCCATAGAGGTAGACAGTGGTTGGGAATATGTGACGCATATTCCAACCACCTCACTTGATAGAGATTCACTATCTTATCAATAGATTTGCCATATTTACCAAATACACTATGCCTTATCAGTGGATATCTAAATCGGTGATCTCAAAATATATGAGCGATGCACTGAAGATACTTACGATCGAACTACTAGCAACCTCTAAATATCCTCTACTCTTAATGACCATGTCCAGTGAAGAATACAGACTACAGAATATTCTTCAATGAAATACACAAATGAATGTGTACACTTTGTTTAAGGAGCCTAAAGAAACAGTACAAAATATTTTCATCCATTTAGGGTGGTTCGAAAAAATAAACAGGAGACCCTGAAACATAGATTTTGTCCTAGATAGCATTCACCAACAAGGTGTACGAGAACTCTTGATGGAAATGATTCTACTCTAATAGATTCCAATCCAATTCACCTGACTTCACAGATCACTTATTAGTAATCAATATAATGTTTGTCAAGTCATTTTTAGTACTGATAAAATTCTATTGATCAAGTCACAACGTAGCCACTAAACTAAATGACTTTTAAAAGAAAGTGAACACATTCTGGTATCAGATAATTAAATGTAATAACCGGGAAACACTGTCCAACTTAAGATTCCCACTAGTTGGTACTCATCAACAATCTTCAGAAAAATGATGCAAATCGATTGATATAAATCAATCAGCTTTAAAAACATTAGGAAAACATGAGTTAAAACAATAGGATATGCTTAAAGATCTCGAATAATTAAAAAAAACAATTATAAAATGATATCCACATTTAATTCATAGAAAATTTGTTATAAACTAACCTAACCCGTAGGCTTGAAGACCAGCATAGAGTTGATGAACGATAGGATCATTAGTAAACGACTGACCAGATGCTGTAACAAAGCAAAAACAATAAAACACAAATCACTAAAAACAAAAAGTAATCAACTACTACATTTTCATGTTCATGTAACACTAATTAAGTAGCAAAAACGGGGCAGGTTCTTAAGCTCACACACACACACACACAAACGCCTTTAAACCATAAATCTTTACATATACAAAAGTTAAAACGATATGAATCTATAATTTTGTGGAGGAGGAAATAAATGAGTGGCAATAATTGTGAGTTGGGAAATTCTGCTTTGGTTTGTGCACCCGTGTACAGTATCTAAACCCTCACATAAATCGAATGATTTATGTGGCGCATATCTGTTTGGTGCCTCCATGTACCAATGTTTATGTATTTGAATAAATATAATAAATAAATAAGTCGGGAAAAGTTACACATAAACCTAACAACTGGTACATTCTTTTATAAAAAAAAAGAAAAAAAAACGATACAACAATTTTTCACCTTTTCTATTGTTTAATGCAATGTAATGTTGTACAACAAAAAAATTACATAAGTGCAACTTAAATCGAGATAGTAACGATGCAATCCATTTACCAATGTAAACATGTAATATGGTCCAGTTTATGAGCTGGACTGATTTAGTGTGACAGATAATGGTACTACCATATTCAGCTATCTAAACTATATTTGAATGAAACAGAGTTGAAAACTATAACTGATTTAATAGTTGTCAAAGACCGAATTTCGCAATCATTATGCTGGATATGTTAATGAAACCAGGAAATTAAATATGTTGTAAGTGTGTGTGTGTGTGAACACATATAACACAAACAATACATCCATGTCACAATATCTAAGGTTTGAGCATAACAATCAGACTTGACTGAAAAGTGAATGAACTACAAATTGATTTCCTCCAATCGCCTATTGATATTTTATTATGTTTATTTTGCGTTTATGTTTTGTTATATAAGTATGCAATCTGATTACATAATAAACTCTATTCTTCTACCTAATGACCTTGTCTTTGATGTTTAATCAGTAGAGAAACACAAGTCAATACATACGGTTTCGTGAACAGTAATCAGCTGGTTATAGCATATTACTGTTTATTGTCTATCGATTGACATTTCATTCATTGATTTTAACGATTGAGATATCCCATCATCAATCCTTAAAACTCTTCCACCATTCATAACAATAAAACAAAACAAAAGTAAGCACAATTCATACAGAAGAAGAAATATGAATTGGCAAAAGTCAAATATGTGGTCATCCAAATGTTTTGTAACCAAGCAGTAATCACAGTGACTCAAATTAAATTATAGGAAATGACTTCGAACCAATATCCAGCTAATTAAGCAACAATAATAATAATAATAATAATAATAATAATACAAACACAATCGTATCTATACAATAACTGTAGTAATGGTATTCATAAAGCATGGGACCAATGTAAGTAAAAGAGCATAGAAACTAACCGGCTGCAGCGGCAGCTAACGCCGCCGCTTGTAAAGCTGCATTTTCCGTCAAATACGAATTTAGTGCAGTGTTCACTGGAGATGGTGTCATTGATTGGGCAGCGGCGGCAGCAGCTGCTGCATACGATGGATGTAGTTGCGGAAATTGTAATGCATTTGCATTTGTATGGCCTACTGCAGTTGAATTCTGTAAAGCGACAGCGGCTGCATACAAACCTACAGGCTCATTTGTTATTGGTGACGGTAAAATAGCTGGACTAACGGTAGGAGGTGTAGAAGCAACCGGAGTAACCATTCCTGGAGATGAGACCAAGATATTAGCAGTTGCACCAAGAGAAACATTTGGTAAAACACTACCAGTTGATGAAGAGTTAGAAACTGGTTGTTGGCCTTGGGTAGTACCATTACCTATGCTGGCGAAACTCGACGGTGATATTGTAGATGGTGAAGCAGAAACTAATAGACCAGTACCAAAGGCATTGTTAAATTCGTTATTACCAGAAACTCCAGCTTCAGTTAATAAACCTCCAGTAACTGCACCTGCGCCAACTTGAGTAAGAGCAGCTAAAGCGGCTGGAGATAATAGAGCGACATCTGTCAAAGGGAACAATGAAGCTACTTTTTGAAGGAAAACAAGAAAAAAAGAAAAGGATTTATTCATTTATTAATGAAGAATAAAGCAAAGTGTAAAACACATTGAATTAGTAAATAACCCAAATATCATGATTATTTCCGAGATTTAAATTAAAATTAAAACACTGGAAATAATGTGGAAATAATGAAATGCAAAAAACCACAACTAACATTGAGGAAGTGTATTATTTTGTAAAGTAGTGGCTGGACAACCGGCAGCCAATGATGCTAACGCTGAAGCATTCGGCACTGAATGACCAGTTCCTGTAAGTGGATTATGCTGATGAGCAACACCGATTGTAGGATGACTAACAATCGTGTTCAATTGCAATGGAATAGATGTTGAACGACTTGATTGATTTTCTGTTATACCAGTTGCTAATTGTGGATTGGCATATTGCATTGCAGCTGCAGCCGCCATAAAAGCTGCCATAGGGTTAAAATAAGCAGAAGCGGATCCTTGTTGAGCTACTTGACTCTGTTGTTGTTGTTGCTGCTGTTGTTGAGTAAATTGAGTGACTGAACTTTGGAAACCATTAGGAACAGGGCTAGCATTTGATGAAGCGGTAGGAAATAAACCAGGCTGCATAAACGAAAACAATATAATGATGCGAAAATGGTTCAAATGAATTTTAACATGAGACACAAAACATCCTATTTATGAAAGTTACCTTTATTGCCTTCAGATTCCCTTGTGTAGCTGAGGGTGGAGAGAGTCCACCCTTTCTATATATCTCGAAATGCTCTCAGGTGACCACGCGTATACAGCCACTGAAAGCCTCCAAATGAACTAGTACGGCTGAGGTTGAAAAGAGTTAGCTCTCCCTCTCGAAATGCTCTCACATGGTCAGTGATGTACAGCCCCTGTCAGAAGAGTCCTACTCACTGCCTTCTGCCTTCTTGCATCAGAAGTGTTCTTTACGAAATTGAGAGGACGAAAAGCGAATACACAGTGTTTTATCCTAGTTCGTCGGTACGGACGATCTATCTACACCAGATGGAAAACTCTCATTTCAAACCAATACTGAACATCCGCTAAAACATATTCACGGAACAAACGGTGTATCAACCCTTTCTTCATTAACGGCTAACATCAGACTGCACAACCTAACGTTGATCTACTGCCTTCTGGATTACACCTTTAGGTAGAAGGCTTCACGAATCACTCCTCAAGAAAACCACTTCGTTCAGTTTAGGCACCTGAACAGTATTTCATCGTCACACAAATCGAAAGGTTTATGTTGTACATGTATATTCTAGTTCGCTTTTGCATCAGTGTTTATGTGTTTAAATAACTATGGAGCTACATTGATTATTTGACTGAGCTAGTTTCTAACGAAATTCAAACAAAATCATTATGCTCATTGCATAAATCACATACAAATTGTAGTGATGGTTTGTTGATAGTCGGTTTTCATGTGGCAATTTTGTAGGTTCAAAATACGTTTTAGTTTTAGCTGGAGAATCTGATACAAATGAGGAAGATGACTACATATTCCTGCCGTTGGTTAGTGAACTGTATTAGCTTCACTGGTAATTATTGCAGAAATCAAGATGAATTGAAAATTAACAAGACCAAATAACTATTCGACCAGTAGGTTAGCTGTATTGTCCCACTAAAGAATACCTAAATAGTGCCAATTTATCGCCACTCATCGCAACAAGGATTGAAACTCACAAAATTCAGACCTAACAGTTGGATGGAAACCAGTCTTTTTTTGACAAGTATACACTCAATGAACACCTGAAACATAAATTCAATCAATTTATGCATCCCACAGCATGCAAACAAACACAGATATCGTTTTGGGAGGATAAGATGGTCTCCTCTACTGTTAGTATTAAATCCTAGTTAAACAATTATGCATTACTGTCAGACCTAAAATATAAAGGTCGGAAACATGTATCCAAGAACACATATAAGCATAAATCCAACCTCACTAATGAGTGGGTGGAATTTCACCCGGAAGTGAAACAGTAAAACTTCTATTTTCAAGCTCATAATCTACCATCGAAACTTTCTCATCTTTAAAAGCCGATATATTATTTTTAAAAAATCTGTGATCTAGCTGTGAAAGTAACAATGATATTTATAAAGAATCTATAGCTTACCGGGAATTGTAAATACCCTGGTGCAACATTAGACGCAACAAGTGATTGTTGAAATGCGTTAGCCGCGGCAGCTGCAGCAGCCGCCGCTACCGCCATATTGGACGCCTCTGTGATATTCGTAATTGGAGTTCGAAGAGATTGTTGTTGATTATATTGTTGCATTGATGTATGAGATCCATCTAAGTGACCATTAGTCATCCCTGTACTGGTAGAATGCCCTGACGCCGGAGAACAAGAACCGTTTGTTGTGCTCTGTTGATGCTGTCTGCGAACTTGACGTTCTTTCTCTGTATCGGCAAATTTTACAACTAACGGAGAAGATGCACCCTGAAAAAACCGCCGAACAAAGAATTGAACAAAATAAAATCATGATAATATAAGGTATATATTTAAATATTATCGAGATAATTGTGATAATTAAACCAATCCTTAATAGGAAAAACAGCTTGATAATCTTATCGACAGTCCTCCTTATGATGAGTTGGACAACCGTCAATTTATGAGCTAGTATTCCGTAAATATCCGATATTCACGTTTCGGAGAGAGCACGTTCCATACGATTACTTTAGTTAAACTGATTGTATCCTTAAACAAACACGCTAAATCTATACACCGAGTGCTAATCAATATAACAGTTATGTATTGGGGTCAGCAAATCTGAATGATACTAAGTATAATATAATATCAATGACATGATTTGATGAAAAAAAATATCAATGTTATTGATAAGTAATTGCTAACACACATACACACACACACACACACAACACCAGACTAGGTCAGAAATCGGATGATCAGTAAGCTATAGTACATTTCAATATACATACACATAATGTCAATTATTTTGAACTTCATTTAGACCGCAATACTATAAATGATTCGTCTATGAAAAATCATATCAGTGAGACTGACTGTTTTTTTTTCAACACGTTTTATGATGTAACCAAAGTTACAATTTCACACAAAGACAGATATATACGTAATCATTTATCCTGTGTATTTCATCATTTGAGACATCAAAATTGAGTTGAATAATCTATAAACCATACTTTACAATTAAGGTTTCCTAGTAGTAGTAGTAGTAGTCAACTTGACAATAAATATTGACTCATAGAAGAGCAAATCAAACTATGTATTTGGTTAGTATGTCATATTTGTTTGTATTAAAATGGCAATGCTAGTAACTATGATAACAGAGAAAATTTGCCCACAAGTTAAGAAAATCAAGAGTAGATAAAGCAAATGTATAAGTTTAATTTTAAGATTTATGAATATATTGCATTCATCACCGTTTATCATCACTAGGCTGATTGTTTTTTCCTAGATCTTAAATATTAAAATTATATTCAACATTGCTATTCCATGAATTTACCCTTCGTTTTCTACTATCAATAAAAATTGTCATTTATTTGACATGTTTTCACAATTTTATATCACTATACTGAAATAACGTGGTTAACCAAACCGATGTCAAAATGTTATTTGTGATTACTTACTTATGCCTGTTACCCCCTCGTTGTGGAGTATAGGCCAACCACCAGCACTCTCATTCATAATCTGTCCTGGGCAATACTTTCCAACACTTTCTAGTTTCTATCTATCGTTTTCATGTCTGCTTCCGATTCTCAGCACAGTGTATTCTTCGGTCTTGCCTTGTGATGCAGTTTAGTGATTTCCTTAATGTATGTCCTATCCATTTCCAACATCTTTTCCAAATTTCCTCTTCAGTTAGAAGTTCGTTTGCTCGCTCTCGCAAAAAACTGTTGCTGATGGTATCCGGCCAATGGATGTTGAGTATCTTGTGTAGACAATTGTACATAAATACTTGTTACTTCTTGATGATGGTTGTGATAGTTCTCCACATTTCAGTACCGTACAATCGGATGGACTGTCTTGAAGTTTGTATTGAAGATTGTGACTTTGATATCCGTTGACAATATCGGAACAACTCCCTGATTGGATGGAGTATTGTCCTCTTCATGACAGCAGTACAGAAGCATCTACTATATCTAGCCTTTGCTGTTCAGCTTTGGTTCAATGGGTTTCGCTAATTCCTAGTACTACTAATTTGTATCTCCTCATTTCCATTTGACTGGTCCTCCCGGTCTTCAACATTGTTTGGACGTTCCATGTACCTATAAAGATTGTTGCTCTGGCTGTTGGAAGGGGCATGAGCCTCTCAGCTCACCATAACGTGTCATAATTCTTGCTTCAACTGCCAGGGCAGAGTGTAAATGCTTTAATTTTGTTGGCGTTTTTTTATAGGGGTAGGGTTGCCGACCCCGTGTTACGCCGGCAGACCCGTGCCCAACCCTAGCCCTCTGTGTGAGCTTGGAGCCTGCAGTAACACTAGAAGAGCTACAGGAGGAGTTTTAATTGCGATCAAGAGTATATAATTGATTGACTGACATTTCATATAAAACATCGTTCACAGTTATGTATTCTGTAAATCCTCTACCAAGTAGATACCTTTGTACTCAGCTCTGGACAGTACTGCTTATATGTGTGTGCATGAAAGAGCTAGTCATAACGATATCCAATTGCTTAAACTGAATTAAATGGAATGATTTTCTAAAAAAATTTACTCAATTAGATGATAAACCCCACATAGGAATTAACAACCATCTCTACAACACTATACTGATTCCATCATAATACCATATCCACTATTACGTTTCAAAGAGATTCAAATCTGACAACAGACCGTTATAATTATGGGGACAAATAAGAAACAACACGTTGTTAAATCTTTAAATAAAACACAAAAAACGATCCATAATTATACAATGCAACAAAAATGGAGTGTCCGATTTCAATTACATCATGTCATATTAATGATCATGCATATATCACTCCAACTGAATGAAATGAAGGAGAAGAAGAAGAAGAAAAAATAAAGAACAAAATCTGAATATTATTAAGTCAACAATAAAACAAAATCCATATACAAAACTTACTTGCATTGTTTGACTATTATGCATATGATCGATAGCGTTTGCCGCTTCTGTACTCGAGGAGTATTTTACAAAAGCACAACCTGTATAATTAAAACAAACAGTAATAACAAATAACTGAATGATGAAACAATTGAAAAGTGATATAATCGAACCGTTAGAAATACAAAACAATAGAGAGGTATTTATATAGATTTAGTTCGATAATCTAGGTGAAATTGAATGATTGTCTTTGTTTTTCCACCTTGTAAACAAAACATATGTGTGATAACAACAATGAAACAATCATTAGTATATCCAGTATACAAGTATATATATATAGCTTTGGTTGTTGTTAACATGAAGTGAGAAAAAAAAGCAGGGAAATATGTGATTTTATTACGGAGTCCATTTTTTCCTTGGTCGATTATTTATCAGATATGTTGTATGGTATATCTGATCGTAGGCTAATTTGTGACCTATTAGTTATTGTTGCGTTACATGCACTCAATGCAGTTGAGGCTGGGGGAGAGTACACACTCTCTATAAATCTCGAAATGCTCTCTCATATGGCCACTCATGTACAGCCACTGTCAGAAGAGTCCTACTCACTACCTTCTGCCTTCTAGAGTCAAAAGTGTTTTTTACGAAATTGAGAGGACGAAAAGCGAATACACAGGAGATGGAAAACTTTCATTCCAAACCAATACTGCATATCCGCTAAAATATATTCACGGAACAAACGGTGTATCAACCCTTTCTTCATTAACGGCTAACATCAGACTGCACAACCTAACGTTGATCTACTGCCTTGTGGATTACACCTTTAGGTAGAAGGCTTCACGAATCACTCCTCAAGAAAACCACTTCGTTCAGTTTGGGCACCTGAACAGTATTTCATCGTCACACAAATCGAAAGGTTTATGTTGTGCATGTATATTCTAGTTCCCTTTTGTATCAATGTTTATGTTATTGTTACATCTTTGACCGCCAATAAACTACAAATCGGTTAGTTAAACTTCAATTGAAAATCCTCTAATTATACCTGCGGTGACATGAGTTCTGAATAATAAAAATAGTCATGAACAAATGTACAATCCGTGACGGACTACATAACAGGTGTAGTTTTACTTTATTGAATTGGTTAATTTATCAACAGCACTATTATCATTACTACCAATCGCCTACTACTAGATATGATCTAACACGATTAAGATCATTCAAAACAATAACAAACATAATCCTAGGAGGAATTTATGCCTTAAACTCAGCAAATTCTTTACAAATACAATCGCCAAATGCCCCCTGGATAGTAGAAGTGATTTGGATATCTGCAAAAGCAATCAAAATAATTCACAAACAACTAACATCAATTTCACTACATTTACCAAACACAATCCCTATCAAACATTTCCGACCAGATCTACGTACACAGGGAACAAAAGAATGTGATAAGTCTTATTTCATCATTAAGATTATGATTGTTATCAAATGATACTTGCATAATCTTTTTTACACTCAAACCAGGTCTGTTGTGGGATAGAAACTCACTGAAGACAATGGTGGATGTGTCGCTCAATTTTGTGGATTAGTTGAAGTTAGACATTAACGCCGTTGGATGCCGGCTCAGTGGTCTAGTGGTTGAGTGCTCGCGTGCGAAGCCAGTAGGTCCTGGGTTCGAATCTCGCAGGGCGCGAGGTCGTGGATGCCCACTGCTGAGGAGTCCCATAATAGGACGAAACGGCCGTCCAGTGCTTCCAGGTTTTCCATGGTGGTCTAGCTTCAACTGACTCATGATCTTAATCAATGAAATTACTCATAAATTAATTTGATTTTAGTTCTAATAATCACAGTCAGTTATGCAACTCATTATTGATTTTATTACGTTTACAACCCCCGCCCTCATTTTAATGACTTCATATCCTCTACTCTGTATTACTAATTTTAGAATATAAGTACTCATCAACCTTAACCATGTTATATTACATTTTGTGTGGTCTACTCCTCCTATTAGTATGATTCTTGGTTACGTTTTGAATATCCATCTTAACTTAACTCATTATAAACTATATAGAACATTTGTTTATAATTATTTTATCCCTTGTAACTTTAAGCTATATGCAACTGATGAGAATTCATGAATAAAGACGAATTCACTTTCATCTGTAAACTTTGTTATTTTTGTTTTGTTTAAATTTATCAAAGCATAAGATTATTGTATGATTTAACAATTTAAACAAAACCTACCTTTACTCAATCCATTTTGATCACGTAAAATTGTACATTCTTCAATAAGTCCATAAGGTGAAAATAAATTTTGAATATCTTTCTCTGTTTGATGCTTTCCTAACATACCAATGAATAGTTTACGATCTTCTATAAAAGATTAAATATAATGAATATATATATTAGAAATATATAAATGTCTCAATGTTAAAACGAATTTACTGAAATATTAGACTGAAAGATATACATTTCAATCAGTCAGCAACAACGTGGAACTTCGTACGTACGTACGTACGTACATCAGTTCGAGTTGCCACACCACATTAGCACACAGATACAATTGTCGATCCCAATCTCATAGTGGGGTTTGAAGATGTTACTTAAAGAGTATAATCCGGTGAAATACATTTGAAAAGAGAAAAAGAAAAGGGACATGGAGAACTCAGAAGATTAGAATTTGGGAGAACACAAAGAGTAGATGCACCCGCGACCTTGAGGTCTCTAACCATCGGTTGCTATCGTCTCGCGAATCCCAACCAGGTAGTCTACACCTACCAACATGGCTCACTTAGTCCACTTGTCAGTAACTCCATGGATTTGTGCTATATTTTGGTCTGGTCGTCATTAGCTTTCTTCCAATCTACTCTTACACCATAAAAAATCGTAAGTTGTGGCAGTCGGTGGTTGGGTGTACGTAACACATATCCCAGCCATCTCAAGTGATGAAGTTTCACTATTTCATCAACGGATTTGCCATCCTTACCAAGTGCCCGTTTCCTAACAACTGTATTACTGACGTACATTTAGGGGTACGATTCGCCAAGCATCACAAATAACAGTGATAGAATTATTAAGATTAGAGATGGGGAAATAACAATATCAATGAAATCGAAAAGCTTAACACCACAAAAAATTCCAACAAAAATTCCCAATTAATTGTTGACTACGATCAGTATGCGAGACGACCCAGATCAGCAGTCAATTGAATCATAATTAATAACAAATATTCTGCTTGAAGTTAGTTTTAACAAAGAAAAGTTCGACATGAAAAAAATACATTTGTTGTCAGAATGAGGGTTTGAGGTAGTTGTAGTAATTTAATGGTTCAATTCATGAGTCGATTTTAGCTAGACAACCTTGAAAAACCTGTAAGCACTGGACGGCCGTTTCGTCCTAGTATGGGATTCCTCAGCAGTGCATATCCACGATCCCACACGCAGGATTCGAATTTCAGTACCTTCAGTCTCGCGCACGAACGCTTAACCTCCAGATCACTGAACCGGCATCCAACGGTGTTAATGTCTAACTTCAACTAATCCACGATGTTGCACAACCGTCCATCATTATCTTCAGTAAGTAATTGTCTCACAACAGACACCGTTTTACTTCACTGATCACATGAAAATAAGATCAAAGTTGTGCCAGGCACAAAAAACGATTAGAATACAACTACTTTTCACTGGAATTATCTAACTGAGCAATTCAGAAAGAAATGAATAGCATTGGTCTAGTTGGTTTTGTTTTTAAGAAGCAACCAATAAAAAGAAAAGTGGTTATGAAATTTTGAAATGAAATTCCACGATATTAGCAGTCAAAGTTCAACAGTAATAAATAAACTTATCAGAAAAAGCTGAAACCGACTTCTTATTATAACAGATTGAATATTGAAGAAAATGTAACTTTCGGGACTGGGTGATGCGAGTTTGAAAACTTCTTAATGGTTTCTAGTACAGATCATAGAGCGGTGTGTTATGCAAAGTTCATGATCTATCTGAAATGCTTAAAACGTAACTTATTGTAAACTGTGTTATTGTCAACGGAGTAAACTTTAATAGAGAAAATATCAATGTATCGTTTCAAGATACTCAAACGAACCTTAAACTATAAGATTACACACAAGGTCAACTAAATTCTTCCATTCATTTGAAGATAATACTTAGTTTGAGTACATTTTCAGGGATTGATCCTATATCAATTGATTCAGTTATTGATTTGTAGTGTAGGTGAGATGTCCACCTACAAACCAAAAGATTACATTGTATTTTACGGCTGTTAAGCATGGTTTACGAAAGTAGATCATAGATGCTTTAAAAGCATTGCTCAAGTATGTTCAAGTCACCGAGTGACCAATGCAGTACTAGTTAAATCTGAAGACTCACTTAGTGAAACTGAGTATTTTTATTGCCCTGGTACGGCCGAGAGTGGGGAGAGTCCGCTCTCCCTCTCCAAATGCTCTCACATGGCCACGCGTATATAGCCTCTGTCAGGGAAGTCCTACTCACTCCATTCTCGTGGTGGTGTTATGTACGGAATTAAGAGGACGAAAGGCGAATGTCCGGCACCGGCTTTAACCGGATCCCAAACCAATGGTGCACATGAGTTCCAGTATCCTGAGGGAACAAATAGTGTATGAACTAATCGTTGGACACAGGCTACCATGGGACTGCATCTCCTTACGATGCTCCACTGCCTTGTAGGTCAGACCTTCAGGTCGAAGGCTCGGAGTGTGACTCCCTAAGAAAACCACCTGTTTCGGTTTAGGCATCCGTGCAGTATCACAGCCCTCACACATATCAAATGAGATCTGTGTGGCGCATATTTATTTGGTGCCTCGTTCTACCAATATCTATGTGTTAAAATAATAATAATAATGATAATAATAATAATAATAATAATAATAATAATAATAATGAATAATCATAGTTTAAACATGAAACACTACTACTACTACTCGTTCATATTAACCAGTAGTAAATGTCACATGTTAATACATAGTAACAGTTAATGCGTTACATTGAATCCAAATCTTTTTTTACAGGAAAAACTTTACAAACATCATTCATCTAACATCTTCATCCTTAAGATGAAAACTTCTTGTTTCCATGACTTTTTAATGAGACTAATTAAATTATCACTACCGAATATCTATCATAGATGTATCATATACAAGGTATACGGACAGGCAAATATGAAAAGAGAATAAGAGATAATTTACTCTCATCAAATTTTATGAATAAGATTTAGTAACGTGGGTTATTATTATTATTATTATTTTCCTAAAAATTCTAATTCGTGCTTTAGCTTTCTATAATACATTGCCGAATAGAAAAGAAAAAATTGTGATAACAACATACAAACACAATTGACTACATGTCTTGTAGACTTGAAGAAACATGTTTGAGCAAACCTATCTAACCATGTTCATACACACGTATGATATATATATATATATATATATATACAACGCAGACAGATTAATGGTAAAGGAGAGAGTGAGCTACATGAATCCAGTAACAAAATCAATCAAAAACAGGAACAATATTTTAGAATAGAATCATGAAACACAAGTCAGAATAGATTTTAATTCATTTTTCACCGAATAGTAAACAAAACTAATAATAAATGAATTGAATTTTGTTTATTTATTTATTTATTTTATCATTACTATGTAATGGTTGATTTCACCGATACAATAATACATCATTCTTAATGTGATGAATATGTATCGAATGATGAAATGAATTACTGCTAGTTAACAATAGAGTTTTTTTGTTTGTTTCATATTGTATAATTTCGTGCTTTATTGATTGATTTATTCACACTTGAACAGGTTGATTAGCACTAGTAGTGCTATCATATAATAACCATAGTAAGTATTTTACTAACCATATACATAGGCAATACTTCATTCACATGCTGACGAATATCAGCCATCAGAAAATCTAAGTTCAGTGTTCGCTAATAATCTGATATTATTTAAACTGAAAGCCGATATCGGATCAGTTACACTAAGGATTGTGGTAAAGTACTCAGCTTTCATATATGTAGGGAGCATTATCAAATGAGCAATACCGAGATTACAAGCAGGGTAGTAGATGAAGATCGCAAGACGTTTGGTAGGGTAATGAGTTTTAATAAACCAAGGTAGTTGAGACATGTATTGTATATGTCCGACTACCTTCTACGTTGGCATAAGAATTTACCAGTTCCACAATTAGGTTGAAAGAGAACTAAGGTTAGTTAAGCCATGCTGTGATATCAACTCATAAAGTCATTGACTATTGGACTAAAACATGCTGAGAGGTGCACATTAGACGCTTAGGTCAGTGCAATTATTGTAACTAATTGTAAAATATACTCCTCAGAAAAATTCACAATGGCGTAAATATATTTATTGTGTCTTCCCTAAGGTCTTACACTTTCAATGTATCTTACACTTTATATTCCGCTAGTTCATTCATATCTTTTAGATCATATTGTTAATCCCTAATTTATTCTGTCAAATCAAGGGTCGCATTCTTACAATTGAAGAATATATGGAACTCAAAACAACTGTCTGTCAACCAATATTAATACAAACGTCAAAACAGTCCATCCGATTGTATGGTACTGAAACCTGAAGAACTACCACAACCATCATCAAGAAGGTACAAGTATTTATAAACAGTTGTCTTAACAAGATAGTCAATATCTGTTGGCAGGATACCATCAGCAACAACCTACTGTGAGAGAGAACAAACCAGCTTCCATGTGAGGAAATTAGGAAAAGATGTTGGAAGTGGATAGGACATACATTACAGAAATCACCAAACGGCATCACGAGGCAATCCCTATCTTCGTATCATGAAGGGAAGCGGAAAAAAGGAATGTTGAAGAACACACTGAGCCGGGAATCGGAGGCAGACATGAAAAGGATGAATAGCAACTAGAAAGAGCTGGAAAGGATTACCGAGGGCAGGGTTGGATGAAGAGTGTTGGTGAGTGTCCTATGCTCTATCGCGAGGGGTAATTGAACTGAACAGACACTGTTGCTAATTTTACTTCTATGAGATTTATCCTCATAGTTTCATCTTGCCGTAGTAATATAAAGTGGTAACTTGAACTGATCCACATATGTTTCATGTTCTACCTTGCCTCTGGTTGACTGATATTTCAATATCGTACAACTTAATTCCAATGTGGACAGTTGAGTAATATCCCTAGTGGTTTATTAAAACCAACTTCTATGTATTTGGTAAATGATTCGCAGATATCGCATTATATTGTATTCTACAGAATCAGATTAGCATAAGTACAAGACAGTATGAACTTATTCATTACTTACTAAACTAATGTAAATAAATTCAGTAACATTTGATGTTGTCTTTCAA